CTTCACCCCCAACAGTCACTTTACCTCAGCTTCACTCTACCTCTGCTCCTGCCACTCTCATCTCCCCTGCTCTGCTCCTCATTCCTCTTTTCCTCCCCCCTGCCCTGTTAAGCTTATTTCCTCCTGACTAAACCCTGCTCCTCCCCACAAAATGTGGCCAAATTAACAGGTTTGTTGTTCCCATCATATTGTTCACTCTGTGTGGGTGGCATAGCCCTTCTCTTGCTCTGAGTCTGCCTTGTCTGTTTTGATCGCCAGCCATTTCATTTTATTTTATCCAGAAGCAAACAACACAGCCAGGTGCCCAGGGCAGCTATGAAACACAAGGGGCGTGGCAATTTCTGGCTGGCACTGTGCTGCTTATGCAATATAGTGGCTGTGGCATCAGTGTTTTTTTCCATTCCCTCCCACCCCTCCAAGTGGGCAGCCAGGGGTAGGTGCCCCAGTCGCCCCTCCCTAGTTCTGCTACTGATTTCATCACTCTATGTTAGCACAGTGCCTAAGACAATGCAACTACATTTGTTGTTGTGGACCTTGGTTAGGCAGGAACAAGGGGAATACCTAATATTATCTCAGAATCACCTCTTTCCTTTATTTCAATAGAGCATCAATCTTCAAAAAAATAAAATAAAATAAAGAAAAAGAAGAAAGAAAATTAGTCAATGTAAGGAATCACAAAAGCACAGCATTCACTTTTACCTTCTGTTTTAACGTTTTGTATCAGTTTGCTTTTTCACAAAGTACAGTCTACAGTGAATTTTATAGATTATTTTTCTTTCCTTTTTCCCATAGATAGAGGATGATCTGCTCCAGATTATTTCAGTGGTGGTAAGAATTAGCGCCTGATTTATGCAGGTGACTGGGGGGGCTGGGGGAAGACTTGTTAAAGAGGAAGGTCTTGGAGTATAAGCTAAAAGTAGACCCTTGATTAGTCTAATCTCATCTGGAACTTTGTTGTACAGCTGGATCCTTTCAACTGAAAATGCCTTTGGCTTTCATGCACTTCTGGGCAAACCTTATCAAAGCCATACATGTCCAATAACACTTGCAACTGGCCATGATGTGGAAGTAAACCCCCCTCTTGAGGGTGCTCAAAATCCAGACCTGAATTTTTAAATGGTTCCTTCCTTTACAAAGCTTGTGTTTTGGGCTCCTTTGTAGTTTCAGCTATTTAATTCATAGTTGATAGACTGACAAGCCTTGTCCTCAAGTTTGTAAATCAGCCCACTTTTCATGGAATTCCTAATGTAATGTGCATGTTACTATACCAGTTTTACAACCTGATGTAGACAAGCCTATTGACACAATGAAGAAAATCATCCCAACACATAGAACAGGATCGAAGTAGGAAAAAGTATAATACCATGTTAGGTTATGCAGCAGATGCCATATAAATTCCAGCATTATTCATTTTTAATAAATACCTCATTACAGAACATTCCAGGGTTTTGTATAGATAACAGCTGCTTGCCTTTCCTGCAAAAATGTTCCAGAGTGTTTTGCTGCTTAAGTGAGTCTGTTTTTTAAATCACTGCTCTTAATTTGGAATATCCATGTTCTAAACTAGAACTTTCCATAACAGGTGATAATAATTTTCTTTGTAAAAATGTCAACAAATGTTTGATATAGTTATGAACCAAACATTTTTATCCATTGTAATTGATACCAGATTTCTCTCTTTTTTTTTTGAATTGGCAAGAAAGTGGTTAATCTGGAGTATATTATTGTCAATTGATTTGGCATTTCTTCTTGTTTTTGCATGCTTTGACAGAACATTTGAGTCCATGTATTTGTCTTACATTACAGATAAATGCATTCTGCCAGCTTATCTGCCTAAAATATTACCTTCCTAAATATTTTACTCTTATGTTGCAGTGATTTTATTAATACAAGATTTAATAAAACACTGCCCCCCCAAAAAGACTGTCTCAAAAAGGAAATACATTCAATTCTGTCTACCATACATTCTATTTAGTTTCTTTATTGTGCTCATCATTTTGAAGAATTAGCCTATACTTTTTATTTGAGTATAGTACACAATGGGTATGTTTACATATGCACCTGACTGCACAGTGGTTACTGCACAGACATTTAGTACTTGCTTAAGCTAAACAAAATGCAAATACTAAATGACTAAATTTAGCAAGTACTAAATGACTGCGTAGTAACTGTTAGTACTGCTCAGTATGTCTCAGTGCTGCATGGGTTGTTTCCAACCCTACTGCACAGTAGCTATGAACGCAGCAGTGGCGGTATCACAGTTTGTGCCTGCCAAAGCTACATCACCACAGCAACAAGCTACATTGCCATAGCTCGTTGCTACCACAATGTAGTGTCTCATGTAGATGTGCCCAATAACTTGATAACAGAAAGTTACTGATGTAGAGTAACAAAGAAGCATTTGAATGCCAGATCCATTAAGAATACCAGATCCATGATACATATAAAAAATGTGGATCTGTACTAAAAGTTACTTCTAGACAGGTTTTATAACAGGGACTTAGTGTTTTCTTCAAAATCTTTATCTTGCACTTGTGTGCAATGTATACAGGGTTCTTAGCAACACAGGTCAATACATTTGCTAATTTCTGCAAGTTTTTTTTGAGGATTAGATGGGCTATTTGTGCAGCTTAGTAAAATATTTACTACAGATCTCACTTCTTGGGATTTGGGATGATATGTGTCTGTTTTGACAAGTCAACTTACTACAGCCCTGGAAAACACCTTTCCTAAATTTGAACAGAAAACCTAGTATCTTTTTTTGTGACAGAGGTACACAATGGAACTCTCACAAGGTATTAAAAAAAGAAGAAAAGGCTCAGTTAGCCCTTGTGAATGGTGATACTCCACCACTCCCAAAAGACTTGAAAATGAGTGATTTGTATGATCACAGAGCAGATAGAATGGTTAAGAGCAGCAAGTACACATTTCTACATTCTGCTCTGATTTAATTCCTTTGTACTGTTGTGGAAGGACCACTTCTAAAGCTAAGAGTATTGCCAGCTCAAGTCTTAGCCTTCCTCTTGAGAGTGCCAGTTAGTGTCAAATATAGATTGAGATGTGGACAGTTCCACTGGAACTGGTTGATCCTTCCAATTTTTTTTTTTTAGAATTATAAAATAGCTCATGGTTAATACTGACTTTCAAGTCACTAAATCCTATGTAAGATTTCTATGTGTGATTTAGCCATGAAGGGCCTTGACTATCTTTACTGAGGCCCCTAGACCAGTCAGCCCAGGTATATAGTACCTTAAAAAAGTATAAGTAGATTAACAAAACCAAATCAAACCATTTAACATTAGGTCTAGAAAAATGTTTAAAATGAAAAGCAGTGGGACTACCATTATTGGAGTCCCATTTTTAATGGGTGAAAAACAACAACAACAAACAATTTATTTAATCATACATAATGAGTCAAATTCATTCCTGGTAAGACTTCCTTGGAAGTCAATGATCAAATTGATGTAAACTGTCATATTTCCATTGATTTCAGTGAACTAAAAGTACATATCCAGCTATGTAGAACTTCATTGCTATTAAAACAAACATGCTATATCACCTAGGCTCCAGGATAATTTATTATTACTATTTATTCTTTTAGCAATACTTGATAGATATACACACTTATTATTTGCAAATTAAAAGCATCTAAATAATGAGTTAGGCAAGCTGCAATATTACCCCCTGGAATATGGAAGCCATTTGGTACCATTGACTTCAAAGTGAGAGACAACATTCAGCTCTGCTCATATGAGGTAATGTCATAACCATCATATGGCTAACAAATGTACTCTGAGGATGGATTCATCTGATTGCTTCTTACTAACTAATAAGTCGTGGTGGGAGTGTGGGATATGTATAAAAAGGAATAATTTGTAATAGTTTTTCTAGGCTGCCCGGATCATCGTTGTTGAAAGACTTTGTACCTTTCACATCCCTTGAATAGGTACCAGTAGCAGCTGGACATGTACCATATCAATTAGATTAACTTAAAAATAGTAAAAAAAAAAAAAAAAAAAAAAGCCGAAAACATATATTTGGTGAAGCTGACATAAAGATTGTAGGGCACTTCTCCTGGCCTAAAGAAAAGAAAGCATGTAATTATGATGTGTTCTCACTGTATTTTATGTTAAGTAATTGCTTGAGAGGACCTGAATTCCTTTTGTCTGCCCCTTTTCTTTAAGGCAAGTTCCAAACAAACCAGTCTATTCACCTTTGTACAAAGGAAATAAAGATACCGTTAATAATATATCTGCCATGAATAATTTTTTTTTCTGGGAAATTCATTGCCTTTTTGAGTTACAGAACCTAGAGCAATAATACATTATTAGACAGCAGAGTCCCTTTGGAGTCCAACTGATGATGCATATTGAATAGGATTCTATCCTTCCCTTCCTACACTTGGCAGACTGCAAAGCCTCCTTGTTCAATCTTTGAACACGAGATCAGGAGTTGGGTCTAAATCAGTAGGAATCATGCTTAGAATTTCCATTGTACCTACTAAAAATCCTGCCATGGCCTGATGTGTTTAGAGGCTGGATTAGATTTTCTGGTAACATTTATTGCACCAGAAATCATTCTTTGCTCTTGGCCTGTGTATAGCCAGACTTGTAGTCAAAGTATGCTGAGTTGAAAACATTAAACATAAAAAAAGAAAAATGCAGGGTGCTGTATTCTGTCTAGTCTTGTGGTGTATGTAAATCACAGTCTACCTGATTAGATCTCAAATAACAAGGTTATTCCCTGTTTGTTTTAGTGGTGATCTCAAATATTGCTTGTCAAGTCTTGATGTTAAAGGGTTTATACCAGGAGGGTGAAACTTAAACACCACTGGACAATGGGATACTGATTTATTCCCTTGTGGTTTCAAACTTTCTCATAAAACGATCCTGTTGACCATAAAAGATGGAAACTCATAGCATGTGTTCTTTATGATAAGGATCTTTTATTAGGTATCTGTCTCCCTTTTTACATTGTTTTCTCTGGTTTCTTAGGTATCACCAAATCCTGGGACAAAGGAAGTGACAAGCCTGTTCCCCAAGCGACTGATTGACGACTTCTCCAGTGAAGGTAAATATTAAGTTCAATACCGCTCTTTAAGTATCCCAAACATAAAATCAAGCAAAATAAACAAAGATGAGCTTCAGTCCTTTGAGATCTATGAGCCCAATTCCCCTTTTTTCCCTCAAGGGGTATAAGTCCAACAAAAGGGTGTCTTTCCCTTTAAGCCCACCAAACGGTGTCGGGCTTACTGTCTTTATGTTTCGTCCTTCTAATGGGGCGCCAGCTTGGCTCAACCCTGTTATAATAATAAAAAAAATAGGAAATGTTTTATTTGTTACTGTAGGGCTCAGCCACCTTTTCCCGGCTAGCCCTCTGTTTTCCCGAAGTCGCGCTGGCTCCTGGATTGTGCTCCTGGCAATGACTCTTCAGCCGGTATCTCCCAGCTCGGCACTGCTCTCTGTCTTGCCCAGCCAGCTGACATCCAGCTTCTTTTCACCTCTGCTGTTCCACTCAGCTCACCCCGCACTGCACCTCCTTTCTTGTTTTAATCCGGATCTCTTGTCTCCTTACTCTCCCTCTGGGGCTGCTTTATCTTCACCAAGCAGCTGTGCTGGAAATGCAGCTCCCTCTTTTCTTTTGCTGGCTCCTGACGGTTTTCGGTTTGTGTCGTCGTCAGCTCTTTCTCTTCATGACATTCAGACACTACTGAAAAGTCAGAGCAGGCTACCAGAGGGGACACTGAACTAGGAAACAAGAGATCATGGTTCTATTCTTTGTTCTGACACTGATCAATTGTGTGATCATGGATAGGCCATCTAACATTTCCCACTAGGCCTACACAGTGAATTTAATATGCCTGACAGTGGTGTTTTTAGGCCTGTTGCAGTGTTTAAAGGGGCTAATTCCTAAACTTGAAGCAGGGTAGACACCTCTGTGAAGTGCTTTGAATGATAGTCTTCATGCCAATTAGCCCACCTGTGGCACCATACAGACATGGTTATGCTGCTTCCTGTTGAGGAGGCAGTATGGCACGCTTGAACCACTGCTGTGGGGGGTAAATATGACATTAGTCTTTCTTTTCTGCTTCCAAGAGAATATCTATTTAGACTAAGCATGTCTACACAAGACGTTTACTGCATAATAGACTAATTACGGTAAATATTTTGGTATCTACACAGGCACCCCTATTAGGCTGGAGTAAACTAATTATCTCTGTGGCAGGATAGTACTTGTAAATACAAGTACAATCCTGCTGCAGAGTTTTTACTTCATAGCAACACTTGTGTAGACACTACCCTGGCTGGCTGGAGCACAAGGATGCTTCAGGGCAGGGGCTACCCTGGCTAGCCCCACACATTGGCCACCCATGTGCCTCTACCAGACGTTCTTCAACACTTTGTGCTGGGGTGGTGGGGGGAGCAGCCTCCAGGTTGACCCCCCGAGCCCCCCTGCCAGCCGGGGCTGCTCCAGCCTGGCTCAGTGTGCTGTGGTCCTGGGTGCAAATTCAAACACCTGGGAGCAATAAGCTATGGAGTTTATTGCTTCACATTAATTGCACATATAGATGTGCCAACTATGTGCCACTCCAGGCAACTGGAAGTTTGTGTAGTACCTAGCATGCTAGGACTTCAATTTCAGTTGTGTCCTCAGGTGCTGCTGAAATAACCACAATATAGTCTTATAAACTTTTTTTCCAGTCTATTTCTTAACAATTTCAAGGTAATTATGAAATAATGGCAAAGCAGGCTTATTAAGAGCTGTGTGTTGATGCAAGAATTTGAGGTGTTTCTCCAAATGTAATATTGGGTATTCAGTTTTTTTGTATGCATAAAGTATTTTTTCCAGATGACAAGCACAGAATTTTCTTGACTCTCTGGCAATCGTGAAAATTTCTAAGGTTGCTTGAGTAATTTCAATTTTGTGATGAGACTGGTTGCATGGTTAAATTACCTGATGCTTCTTCTACTTACATACAATATACTAATTTACTGCTTATACAATAAAGCAAAATACTGTACATTCCCTGCAGATTATTAAGGAAATGTTAAAGCCACTGCAACAGTTAAGCTTCCAAAAACAATATTGACTACCATCTATTTTATGGTATTCATTCAATGATCTATTAAATAAACATTTAACCAGAAAACAGGAAAGTAAATACCATATTTAGTATGTGCATCATCAGCTTAGAAAAAGATTGCAGCATCCTCTCCTACTCATCTAGCAATGCTGGGGAAATACTATACCACACGCAAGAGAAGGAAGAATTTCTTTCTGATCTCTGCAGGTAAACATTGTTTGTGCAGTGCTTTGGGTATTTATTAAAGGGGTGCAACTTAAATGTGCATCTATTTTTTAACTAAACAGTAATTAAAGTTATGCAAAGTGGGATATTATAGGGCATGACATGAACTTGAAGTGAATTTGTAGGCTCAAAATGCTTTTTGCTATTTGAGTCATCTTCTTAATTTTGTACTGATCTTGCATTTTCCTTGGGAAGAAGACAGCATGATGGTGTTCTAATCAAAGCTATTACAGGTGTAATTTAAATGGAATCCGTATATGACTGAAGCAATTATTATGTGAAATCTTAAGACAAATACTCTGCTTAGGTCTTTGTCATTGTGCTTTCTAATACCACAAGAACAGAATCAGCATATAGCATATCTGCATTCTGAGTATAAGGTAAAACTGGGGTAGCTTTATCGCACTGACTGGCAGTTATTGGCAAATACTTTTTAATGGTCACTTAATGCTACCATTTAAATAATAAACACGGTAAATGCACAAAAATATCTGACCACCAACACCCGAATTGTTGTCATGGTGACATTACATGTCTAAACATACACACATTTCAGGATATGCAAGAAGTAAGAAAGCCCAGATGCTCTTATTCAGGTGTAGCAGTGTATAACACAATGGTTCTTAACCTTTTCAGACTCAAGAGGCACATCTACATGTTGCCCTACACTGACGTAGCAATGCGCTATGTCACCATACAGTACACTATGGCGATGTAATGATCATGTGTATCTACACATGACTGCCAGCTACATCGCAATAGTGCCACACTCACATAGCAGTGAAATCTACCCATGCACTGCATGCACAGCACAGTAACCGTCCATATTGCACCGTGCTTTAGTACTTCAAAAAGGAAGTACTAAAGCAACGTGCCATAGCAATGTCTCCATACGGCAATGTGTAGACCTGCCCAAGGCACCCCTTGTTAGACTCGAGACATCTTTCAGAAAATGGCAGGTTTTAGTTTTCACTCATTTTTTGGACTATGGAAAAATAACAGAGCAATTCTTGTGTTGCAGAGAACTGACTACAGCAGGTCAGGTTTTTAATATTATGCATAGGTGGCAAAAGGCTGGGGATAACAGGGCTCAGCCCCCCCAAAATAGGGGGCAATGGTTAGGGCCACAGGGTAGCCGAGCTGTGGGCTCCAGGAGGCTGCAGCAGGGGTGGGGAGGGGTGAGCACACCACCAGGATTGCAGCCTGGTATGGGGATCACAATCTATTCCATGAAGGGGAAGGGGCTGGGGGGGGGGGGGCAGATCAAGGCCCCCACAGTGAGGGAGGGAGTGGGGCACAGTCAAGGGCAGGGCCTGGGGTGAATGGGGCCCCAGTCTGGCTGGGTGGTAGGACAATTGGAGCCCAGGCAGCTTGTCCGGGGAGGGGGCAGGGGGGGCCATAATGTGCTCCCCAGCAGAGGCCCAGGGGCACATGGCCCCTGGATCTGTGCGGAGGGTGGAGGCCAATGTCATTGCACTTTGTGCTGCATGGCAGTTGCCCCAGGAGTGGCACAATACCACTTGCCTGCTGCCGCTGGGCTGCTCCACGCCCCTTGGAATTCACATGGCATTATCAGATCCAGAGGGTGGCAGTGGCAGCAGGAAGCAAAGCCCAGCCCACAGCAGGAGCTGCCTCCACTCTGCACACGGATCAGAGGGTACATGCTCCCTGGGCCTCTGCCAGGGTGCACACAGTGGTGGGAACACCCCTCTCTCCCACATGTCCCTGGACAAGCTGCCTGGGCTCCAATGTCCCACCATCCAGCCTGGCCGAGGCCCCATTCGCCCCTGCCCCTGCCCCACTCCCTCCCGCACCTCTGGGGCCTTGATCTGCCCCCTCCATGGCCCTTTCTTCTCCCCCCACCCCTTTCCCCACAGACTTACCAGGGGAGGGGGGCATGCATGTGCACTTAACCCCCCCCCCCCCAAATACTTTTTTATCCCTTCTCCTATGATATTATGGTTTCATCTTTGAAATCTCTGGGTTTGTCTTGTGAATTGTGTTTGTACAGCTAACAGTGGTAACATCACATGGCACTCTTTGGAACCCTTACTAAAGCACCCTTGTTGAGAATCACAGGTATAACACTGTTCTTCATGAATTAGTCTGTTTTACACTAGTGTGAGCAAAAGGAAAATCAGGACCAAAGCATGTACACACAGATGGACACGCATAGAATAGTGATTTGTCATGTAGTTGCACACATGAACAGCAGGAAGAATGTAACCTTTCATGGTGTGTACAAGAACCCACTAGAGTGATTTATCTATTGCTTTTTCGTTTCTATAGTGCTCATCTTCAACTTGCCTGAGTACCAAACAAACATGAAAAATTATCTGTTGTTTCTGGTGGGTCTATATAATTTCCTATATGTGTAAAAACAACTTTGTTTTTATTAATATCCTGCGAGGTCTATATCAATGCTGTATATATCAGTGAAGAGGAAGTCACTGAAATACTTAACTCATTCCACACTTATGCATATCTATATCATAAATCTACACTGTGAGCTGCAGACAATTTAAAAGAATTGTATGCCCTCCATACATTTTCTCTTAACTTTTTAGATCTGGGTCCTCAAAAGTTCTTAAACATCTAACTCCTACTTGGGGATCTGTACCTTTTTCAGCTGAATTTGAATAGTAAATATCCCCTTACTCCTTGAAACAGAACTTTATGCTGAGATATGTCCCAATCTTCCCCTATTTCCCAACTGAATCATTGAAAAACATGTATTTACATAGATAAAATACCTATACAG